AAAAAAAAATAAAAATCAGGAGGGATACCTCGGCTGTAGAGGTTCCTCCTGGAGGAGGGAGGGGACCTAGCACTGCACCAGACTCCCCAGCCCAGGCATTCACTGCCAAGGAAAGAAGTCCCCATAACTTCTGGCTTGGAAAACTAGCAAAGGCTGTGATTGAGTGAGACAGAGAGCAGCTGCAAGGACCCCCACATGGACTTACTTGTTGACAGACTCCCTCCACTCTGAGCTCCAGCACTGGGGCAGCAGCTCAAAAGGTGCCAGGGATATAAGGAGGGCAACTGAGCTGTCTGGCTTCAGGATGAGGGCTGCAGGGGCAGCTTTGTCCTGGATGTTGGAGCTGGTAGAATCCATTGTTTCTTTGTTGAACCTGCCCCCTTCATTGTGTGCAGATACAGTCAATCTCCATCAATCTGGCTAACACCATTTGTCCACTCAGCCCTGGTGATTTCCTGAGACCCTGCCCAAACCACCTTTCAGGCACACCCACGCTGCTTCCAGTGGCTTTTCCATACAAAGAGCCTGAGAGCTTATGCTGCTGACTTCATTAAGTATCTCAAAGGTTCATAAACCCCAAACAAGCAGCATCTGCTTCAGCATGTCCCATACCTCTTGCTGAGTAGCCCCAAGCCCAGCACTAGTGGCAGCTCACCTTGGTTCTCAGCTTAGCCTCTTGAGGCACTCTAAACCCAGCACAAGTGGTGTCCATTAACAGACTGTTTTGTGGCTCATGCCATGTGACTCTAGGCAGGACACAAGCTGTGAAGAAACTTGGCCTGCGACAGGGTACTTGCAGGAGGCTTCAGAGCTGGAATGCCTCGTAACCAGTTTCATACCTAGCCAGAGCATCACCCAGCTGCCTGCAAGAATGGCACACACAAATGGCAGACTGGGCAGGCATCAGAGCCCTTCTAAACTGAATCCTGATCTGTAGGGTCAGCCCCTAAACAACAGCTCCTCCACTGTAGATATGGATAGTCCTCACAACAAATCAGCCCTAGGGTCAATCCCAACCATTGATGGGCAAACTACAACCAAGGCTCAGCTACAACAGGAGGCTACACACAACACACAAAGGGACACATCTAGAGCACCTGGCTCAGGTGACCAGAAAGACTGCACCATTGGGCCCCACAAGAAACCTACTATATAAGGCCACTCTGTTAAGACTCAGAGACATATCAGCCCTTCCTAATACATAAAAACAAACACAGCAAGGAAGACAAAATAGGAAGACAAATATGCCCCCCCCAAAAAAAAATGAACAAAGCTCCAGAAAAAGAACTAAAAAAGGAGACAAGCAATCTACCAGATGCAGAGTTCAAAACACTGGTTATAAGGATGCTCAGCGATCTCAGGGAGAACTTCAACAGAGATAGAAAACATAAAAACAGAGATAGAAAACATAAAACAGAAGCAGTCAGAAATAGAGACTATAATAACTGAAATAAAGTCAACAGAGGAAATCAACAGTAGACTGGATGAAGCAGACCATCAAATCAGCAATTTAGAAAATAAGGTAGAAGAAAACACCCAATTAGAACAGCAAAAAGAAAAAAGAGTCCAGAAAAAAATGAGAATAGTTTAAGGGTCCTCTGGGACATCAAGCATACCAATATTCATATCATAGGGGTGCCAGAAGGAGAAGAGAGAGAGCAAGGAATTGAAAACCTATTTAAAGAAATAATGATGGAAAACTTCCCTTACCAGGCAAAAAAATAGACATACAAGCCCAAGAAGCACAAAGAGTCCCAAACAAGATGAACACAATGAGGCCAAAACCAAAATACCCCATAATTCAAACACCAAAGGTTAAAGATAAAGAGAGAATCTTAAAAGCAGCAAGAGAAAAGTAGTTAGTTACCTACAAGGGAGCTGCCATAAGACTAACAACTGATTTCTAAACAGACAATTTGCAGGTCAGAAAAGATTGGCATGAAATATTCAAAATGATAAAAAGTTAGAACTTATAACCAAGATTACCCAGCAAAGCCATCATTTAGAATCCAAGGACAAATGAGCATCCCAGACAAGAAAAAGTTTAAAAAGTTCTTCACTATCAAACCAGTATTACACGGAATCTTAGAGGGACTTAAGATGGAAAAAAATAAAAATATCAAAAATATGAATAGTAAAATGGCAATTGCTATATTATCTATCAACAATTACTTTAAATGTAAATTTATTAACTACTCCAATCAAGAAAGAGACAGGGTGAGCCTCCCACTTAGGCTATGATTTCTTTCAAGGAGGCCCCCAGCTCTGGGAATGAATACTGGTAGCCAGTGGCCAGTATCCACCATGGGACCATTTACTGGCCCTCCAGCAGCATGATAGCTTGTTCTTGCCCAAAGACAGCTTGCACAACGGTGCTGGGGAGAGGGATGAAGGCTGGACAGCCCAGGGCTGTGCCCAAGGCCTGAGCAAACTCAACATTTGTAGTGGTGGAGGCTGGAGCCACTCCATTCAGGACCCCCTGCACGTGGCTTGCTTCGAGGGCATGGGCCAGGATTCCTGCCAGGTCCCCGATGTGAATCCAGAGGAAGAACTGGTGGCCTGAGCCGATAGGGCCCCCAGGCCCAGGCGGAAAGGCAATAGCATGTGACCAATGGCACCACCCCCACGGCCGAGCACAACCCCTAGAGCAGGCAAGAAATATGGTATAGGGAGGCTCCTCAGCCTCCAGGCAGCCGCACTCTTCC